AAGCCAGGGAACAGGATGTTCCCCAGCCTCCAGGTTGCCCAAGGCTGGACCTCAAGGAAGCCCAAGTCAGCAAAGACCCCCCCCAACTCGGTTTGTACTGGCTCCCGCTCAAGCATCCGGGACTGGCTCCATCTTCTTGCAAGAACCTACAAGATCGCTCGTTCCCCTGAAGGAAGGAGGGAAAAGTGATGAAGAGGGTGTGTGAAAGCTCAGGTAAATACTCAAGGTCTTCAGTGTTATTTTTTTTAATCAAGAGGTAGGACAGATACTTCATGCTCATGCTTGCTCTAAACGTGATGCAACCACGGCATTAGTCATCTTCTGGTGCCACCTTCCAGAGGACACCGAGGTCTTTGTTTGCTGTTGGCAAGGTTAGGGCAGGTCTTGGGGTTTGCTCTCTTGTACTAAGTCCCCTGAAGATACTAAAAAATAAAAAAAAAAAATTCAAAAACCCCAACCCTGTTTGTGTTCCATGTCTTCCCTTTTCCATTGCTTCTTTATGCCGAGCTGCGACCAACGGCACAAATCCTTCATGCATGGAAGGGTGGCTCCTCTCCGCCTGTCCAGGGAAAGCAACGGTTGCCTGCGTTCCAAGGAGTTAACTCTTCAGCACCACGAGGCTTTCTTCCAAGCCATCGGCTTCAGGCACACCTTGTTTTTTCTGGACAAACTTCACATAGTTGGAGAAAAGCTGCTACGACCAAGCTTCCCTCTTGCAAAGCGATCTTCAAGAAGCTTGGCCAGCAGCGAGCGGCAGCACCCAGGAGCAAGGCTGAGCATCTGAAAGATGATTTTCAAGGATGAAAGCAAAGCTCTGTTCCCACCTGGGCTTCTCCAAAGCACTGGGGTTATTTCAGACCGTTCCTTGTGCTGCTGGACCCGGAGCAAAGCTGGTGGTGCAGGAAGGAGAAAACCACAGGAGAGGGGAGGTGGCTCAAAATGCTCAGGGTTTGGAGCTTGAAGGGATGGGACGGATGAAAGCAGGACTGGCCCGGTGGGTTTGGGTTTGTTTGCGTTGGATTCGTGCCCCAATTTGACATTGGGATTAAAGGGTGAAGGAAGTCAAATAAGAGCCAGAACCTGACATAAAAATAAAAATAAATTCAAGGGTGTAACCCAAGCAGAGTCAGTCGAGGAGTTTCACTGAATAACACCCGTGATTCAGACAGCCTCTTTCATTCCCAGCAATCCCCAAACTCTTTACACACCCACGGGTCCTTCACCTGCCACTGAAACACCAACAGCACCCAGTCCCTGTAATTTGGGCAGGAACTGAGTGTTTGGGACCTCCAGAAGCACCCAGTCCCTACAAACTGAGCGTGAACTGGGTGTTTGGGATCTCCAGGAGCACCCAGTCCCTACAAACTGAGCGTGAACTGGGTGTTTGGGATCTCCAAGAGAACCCAGTCCCTACAAACTGAGCGTGAACTGGGTATTTGGGATCTCCAGGAGCACCCAGTCCCTACAAACTGAGCATGAACTGGGTATTTGGGATCTCCAAGAGAACCCAGTCCCTACAAACTGAGCGTGAACTGGGTATTTGGGATCTCCAAGAGAACCCAGTCCCTACAAACTGAGCGCGAGTTTGGGGGTTTGGGATCTCCAAGTTTTTTTAACCCATAATTGAGAGAAGTCAACCCTACGTGGCCAGAAGCTACATCACCCAGGTGAGATGCAGAAAACTTCCAGACGATAAGGTTCTCTTGAGTCCTCCTGTCTTCTACACGAGAAACAAAACACAACCAGTGCAAAAATAACCGGAAGAGGAATCTCTTGGGGGCAACCACGATTTCCCAACTCAAACCTGCGATGCGATGGTGCAACGCGACGGTTACGGTTTAATGGGATACAGAACGACGTGGCCACGGCCTCTGGGATGTCCTGTGGGTGATCCTGAGCTGTCCACTTCCACGGCTGACGTCAAGCAGGGCAGTACAGGGTTTGCATTAGGGGAGTGGTGGGGATGGCTCTGTGATGACCTGCCACAGCTTCTTGTATTAGTAAATCACAGAATCACAGGATGGTTTGGGTTGGAAGGAACCTTAAAGCCCACCCAGTGCCACCCCCTGCCATGGGCAGGGACACCTCCCACTAGCCCAGGTTGCCCAAAGCCTCATCCAGCCTGGCCTTGAACCCCTCCAGGGATGGGGCAGCCACAGCTTCTCTGGGCAAATGGAGGTACCTCCAACAATTCACCAGGAAAGCAGAGACCGAAATCCAAATTTGACCCCCAGCGTAGCCCCCAACCCCTCTTAGGGCAATGTTTTCTCCAAAGCTTCTAATTTTCACCTTAATTTGGGATGGCTGCAACGATTCCCAGCTCTCCAGACTACACCTGAGGCAAGGATGATGCCACTACTCGTGCAATAACTGCCAACGGCCACCAAAATTGCAGTCTGAGGTATCAAGGGAAGCCAAAATATCGCATCGGTTTAATTCAGCATTTCTTCACCTTTACTCTGAGCTGTAAAACGCAATAGCTCAGAAGATACTTCACAACCATCTGAGAAATCCCTGCAGGGTTAAAAGAACCGAGGGCTAGGCAGGTTGGATAAAAGATTAAAAATAATCTCAATTATTTTGATATCGCACAAGTAAACACTCATCAACAGCCATGGCATGATCCCGCCACCTGCCTCAGGACCACGGTACGCCGGCGAATGACTCGGATCTTGTTTTCAAGCTCGCTGGCTCTCAAAGGACTTTTCTGGAACATCTCTCCCTCCAAACACGGCCATAACATGCGGATGTCTTAAGAAAAGTGCTACTGAACGAGGCTGGCTATCGGTAAATCCTTCCTGGATGCATGCATTGATCAGGAGGACCTCTTAAAAAGAGATGAAAAATAATAATAATCAAACCTTCGGGTCTGCCAGAGAGGTGACTTCAAAGAGAGGAAAAAAATAAAGGTGATGGAAATAGGAACTTGGAATTTTATTCTCGGTTGTTCCAGGAGACTTTTGGTTTTACACTGGGAACTTGGACTTTTCCATTTCATTATTTCACCAGTTTAGGCAATGATAAAAAAAATCAACCTCACGAGGAATTTGAATTTGAACCAAGAGGGAAAGTTTTCACCCCAGATTACCAGGTGCACCTGACTGATACGTATTTATCCGTAAGGATGGGTATTTTGGGCAGAGGAAGCTTTTCTCGAAAGATACAACACAAACCCTTTATCCTATCAATCACAGGGATGAATCCCACCATAAACATCTCCAGGGCTTCCCTGAGCTTCTTGGCAATTTCACATTTCTGGAAATTTTTAAACACAAAAATCAGAATTATAAAGAGACAATCCCCCAAAGAGCAGGATCGTGAAGATTCTTCTGTCCTGTTCTATATGATACAGCACAGCAAAAAAAAAAAAAAAAAAAAAGAAACAAACCAACAACACAACAAAGGAAGGAGGGAGGAATGAACTTAACTAAAAATTACAAACTAAAGTGATTTGCTGGTCACTATTAAAGTGCATTCGGTTCCACCTCAGCTCTTCAGCCCTGTGCTCATGCTGGCGATGCTGAGCTCCGTCGTGCTGGTTCAGGGAGCGTGAGATCTTGCAGGCAGCAGGGAAGGGACCGTGTGCTCTCAAGTGTTAATTCACAGCAGGAAGGATGCTGAGAGCCCTGAGTTAGCTCGATGCCACGTTAGGCAGCGGATTTTGTCACATTCGCTGTCATTCGGAGGAGGAATTTGTTCTCATCACAGTGCTAAGACTTGCCATGGGGACACGAGGGAGCTCCATCCCCTCAGCATCATGTATCCCGTAGGCTGCTGCCTTCAGACAACCTGTAACGTCTCATCTGGAAGGAAGATGACAATTTTTGGCTCTGCTCATACAAACGTCACCCTGAAGGTTTAAATCACCGAAGGACACCGCTGCAGTCGCACCTGCTGAAGCCAAAGGATTTGAGCGCAACGCTCGGCAGCACGCGGCTCAGGGCTGGCTCCTGCTGCCAGGCTCTGGAGAGGCTCCAGCATTGAGAGAAAAACTGAGAAAGGGGAAAAAATAAAAAGAAAAATCACAAAACTCAAGGCAGAGCCCAGCAGCCCTCCTATTTTTCACATGTGGGTACGCACAAGGATCTGTGTATCAGCTCTGCTGCTTGCTGGACATAAAACCAACCGAGTGGCCACAGAGGCTCAGAGCGAGCGGAGAAATATTCTTTAGGACAAGTCACCCGGAGGGAAGCATCCTTGGATGTGCAGAGAGACCTTGAGCTTGAAAATGACACGTGGTGATACCTTAGAGGAGCGCTATAGGAAGAGCTGGCTCACCTTCAGCGAGGAAGGAGCGTGGGCACAGTCAGCCCGGATCCGGCAGCGGGTTGTCCTCGCTGCTGGTGTCGAGCCAAAGCCCGCTGATGTTCATGGGAAGTCAGTAACCGGTTGCAGTGCCTCTAATTAGTCCTGAGCTTGCTGGGGATTTAATCCGCCTCCAGCAAGAGCACGCGGGTCTCTCGAGCCTTGTCCCTTGGCGTTAGGCGGTCGTCACTCGAGTTATTAACACAGAGCTGGGATCCAGCGCTCTCGCTGCAGACACACAGACATCCAAATCCGAGGGTATCGCCTCGAAATCCCTTTGCAGTTAGCAGAAACAGGTGCTCCCGAGGCTTACAGTATCACCCCAGCACGGGCATCTAAATCAGGACAGATGAATCACGCTCCAGAAGTATCTATTTCTCTGCGCTGACTGCAAAGGGAGCCTGGCTAGATCCTACGGAGATGCCTTTAGGCTAGAGACAATTAAGCAAGATTAATCCTGCTCAAAGAGCGGCAACAGTCTAACAGATCACCCCAGGAGAGGTTCCAACTTCAAGCCAGTGCTGCACATTACCTGAGCCTGTATTTGCCCACGGAGACGGGGAAGTGCTGCTTCATAAATACTATTTACACCAGTTTGCTTAAATTAAGAGTAGTTTCTTGGGGGGGGAGGTAGAAGAGAAAGAGACAAGATCCTTCATCCTGTGGGATCTAAAGATATCGTCCTTCCCGGTATCGTCCTTCCCGGCCACCTTCGCCCCTGTCAGTTGTAGGACAGGTACTGGATTAATCGCGGGGGAATATTTAGCTTGGCAATCTTCTCCAGCGCTCGCTGCCCGGCGGCTTTCCTCACCGTCACTCTGCAGAGCTGTGACAAACTCAGAGGCGTTTCTAAAAGGAGAAAAGAGGATCCAAAGTTAGGAGAGGGATGGCTGATCTTCCCGCAGAGCACAGAACTCGCAGGAGGGTGATGCCTGGCATTGCTCCAGCCGCGATCGCCTGGCTCTGCTTCCGAGCGCTTGACCTCCCACAGCACCCAGCCCCAGGGAAGGCTCCATCCAATGCAAGTCCCACCAGAAATAGTGAGCACAGCTTCAGTGCACTTTCTCCTGGCTTCCTTCCTTCCCTGCATCCCCCAAAGGTTGATGGATCATCTGCTGTGATCCACCAGTGCGACCCAAGACTGTTGTGGTTTGATCCTGGCTGGCACAGCCACTCACTTGCCCTCCCCCATTCCCCAGGGATGGGGGAGAGAATTAAAGGGGTAAAGGGAAAACAGACTCGTGGGTTGAGATAAGAACAATTTAATAACTAAACTACAATAAAATTGAAAATAGTAATAATAACAATAATAATCTTAATAATAATATATACAGATGTACAAATGAGTAATACACAGTGAAACTGCTCACCACCCAATGACTAAGCTCAGCCTGTTCCCAGCTAATGATCGCGGGGAGTCCCAAAACCACAATCCCAGAGAAGAGATAAGAGACCAAGTGTCCAAGAGACTGAGAGCCACAACAAAGAGAGAGACAACCCCAAGAGAAGGGTGACCCAGAGAGAGAGGGAATTTCCAGACAGATCCTCACCTCTATCCTGGCCATGCCGTGCATGACATGGAACAGACCATCGGCCAGTTTGGGCCTCGATCCTAAAACAAAGGTCGAATCCTGGGCTGGTCACTGGGGCTGTGCTCCCTCCCAGCTCCTCCTGCCCCTGCAGACACGGGGACAGCAGAGAAGCTGGAAAGTCCTTGACTGTCCTGGCAGCACTCTAAACATCCTCCTCTCTAAACTCTACTCCAGGGAGACCTTATTGCAGCCTTGCAGTACTTAAAGGGGGCTACAGGAGAGATGGGGGGGCTCTGGATCAGGGGGTGCAGGGACAGGACGAGGGGGAACGGTTTGAAGCTGAAACCGGGGAGACTGAGATGAGATCTTGGGAAGAAATGTTTTCCTGTGCAGGGGGTGAGGCAGTGGCCCAGGGTGCCCAGAGAAGCTGTGGATGCCCCATCCCTGGAGGGGTTCAAGGCCAGGCTGGATGGGATTTTGAGCAACCTGATCAAGTAAGATATGTCCATGCTCATGGAGGTGGTGTGTGGAATAGATGATCTTCAAAGGTCGCTTCCAACCCAAACCGTCCTATGATTCTCTGAGTTTCAGGATCATCTAACGCAATGGTGTTGAGCACTGGTCTGCAAATGCTCAGAAGGGTCTGTAAACTACACCTCTGAGGTCCACTAAGGGTAACAAAGACAAAAATTGATTCAAAGCCATCCTCAAACCTCAGTCAAATGTCTCCTCCAAAATCAGACAGCCAGCGCAGATAAAGTTTAACACGTTCCCTGCCCCAAATAAAATGGGTTTTCAACTGGGCAATTTCCTTGATCTGACTTAATGCATTAAAGCACAAACGCTCGTGTTGACACATGAGAAGGACCTGAATTCAGTGAGGGCATGATTTGGACCATCTTACCACTGTCATTCAACCACAATTAAGTAGAGCGATGGCTAGCTGCCGTACATTTTTGTCACCAAGAACTCTACACCTTCCCAGGAAGATGATCAGGGAGCTACAAATCAAAGCGGACCAAGAATCATGATCTGGTGCAACGGAGTTGGCAGGCACTGAATTCCTGGGGTAGGGGATCATATCTCACTTACTTTCATAGAACTCGAAGCACTTTGCTGTGGGACTGCTGCTCCAGGTGTAATCCGATGGCTTCTTTCCTCGGTTGTCCCTCGCGTAAATATTTCCTCCAAATTCAATCAGCATCTCCACCAGATCGACGTTTTTCACTTTGGCTGCGTGGTGGAGGGCTGTCTCGTGAAGTTTAGCAGCATTTACATTTGCCCCTGAGGCCAGAAAGAAAAACAAACTCATTCATGAAAGCCTCACTTGACCCAAACGTAAGGAGTGGTTTCACTGGAGGAAAAAAACGCTGTTAAAAAACACACGAGAAGCTAGAACAAGATCCAAACAAAACAGCATAAACAGGAGACCAAACTGCGGAACAAGTTCTCAGAGTTGGCAACGTCTGAGTTTTCTTCTCTGGCTTTGTATTTTCCTTGCAGAGAAAGGCTTTTAGTCCATGTTACTGGGTAAATAAGCTGCTGAGTGTGAAGTTCAGAACTGCTTCCTCCATCCGTGCTGCCCAAAGCCAGCCAAGAGCCATTCCCAGTCGTCCCACCGGAGTACTCCCACTCAAGGAGAAACAAGGACATCTTTGTTAACTATTTTACCAGAAATGCCCCAGACCCATGAGATGTTGCAGCTCACCACCAGACGTTACTGCAAGTCGTTAGTTACACATATTTTTGTAAAGCAAGTTTGGCTTTTCTAAGCTGACAGCAAAAGGTCCTTCCAATCCCCCTAAAACCAGTTGCATTTTATTAACTGGTCTGCTCAGCAGAAGGGAGCTGAACCTCACTGAATTCAAACAATCGACTTTTAGGTATGTGTAGCCACAATGAACTCCCCTTATCATTATCAAGGAGAAACAGGCATTTCTGGGGAATTCATAGAATGGTTAGGGATGGAAGGGAACTTAAACATTGGATTAATTAAAAGGTGCCCAAAATAGGGAACTGGAGGGGCTGGGAACAGGCTAGCTTAGATGTGTCGTTTTTAGACAATTAACGTTTAACAAAACAAATCACAGAATCAGAGAATCACTGAATGGTTTGGGTTGGA